TTGTTTTTTGTTGTTTTTAGATTCCCTGAATACAAACAAATGTGATGTGATCTAGCTGTTGTCCATCTAGTTTCACCTCCCACATATCAGATTACACTGACACCTCCACAGAGACTCGCCGTGCTTCGCACACAGAGGTTCAACATGAAGCTGATGGGGTAATGATTGAAACAACAGAAAATGACATATTTTGAGTTATGCTTGAAATCTGGTGTCTTGTAAAACAGTCTGAATATTTTTTCCTTTCTTGAAAAACAGAAACATTTTCTTTTCATTCACAATCAGGTTTCTTGAGTTATTATTAGTTTTTTTTTTTTTTTTATCTGATTCCTCAGGACCAAAACTGAAAGGCAAAGGAGATTTTTCACATTTTAACCCTCTTAAGTCAGATATGATGGTTAATTCTCTCATATTGGTTATAATGAGCTGACTTTTGCCTAATTAGCTATGAAAACCTGCTTAATTTTGTTTTGCACTTCCATTTCTTCATATTTTCAGCAGATTACTGGCCAAAAAAAAACTCCTTCCCTTTCTTTAAAATGCAAATTACTGTAACAACAGCTCCTCTGACAGCCTTATTTAATTTATGAAACTAATGCAGAACAGAGTCCACATCTTCCTCAGAATTATTTTTTGTCCATCACGTTCTAAGTGGGACACAGGTGTGACCAGGGGTCCCCCCCTCTCAATCAGAGGGGCTTAGGCGCGTGCCGAGGGAAGGCTCTACCCTTTCAGCAGCCCACCCCCTCCGAGAAATCCCTATTCAGTCCACCAGATGGTGGCTGGGTCTGAGTTTTAATGAATGTTATCCTCCGTGACCCTGTGGACGCCGCAGAACAGCGGTGCCCCCCTCTCAGCACGTCTCACTGCAGTTTGCCACCCCACGCTGACGGAGAACAATATCAGAAAGCAAACTGAAGGAGGGATGCTGGAGGAAATGCAAATAAAAAAGAAAAAATACCCTGCTTCCCTGCAGGAATAGACAGATTTGTTCTCTAAAATGACATATTGGAGGTTTTTTCTTTACAAACTGATATTTTATTTCAATAAAACAAAAAGGAAGCCAGGTTCCAGCTTTGACGTTTGTAGGCAGAGCATTTTAAAACCCTGTCATCTTGCAGAAAGTCAGTCAGTAACACATGTGAGTCATCGCCATGACTGCTCACACCTCCTGCCAGTTACATGTGAGGCTGAGAGTAAAAGTGAGAACCACAATCTCCTCAGTTGCAAGACTATATTAAAAACTCATCGGTTTGTTAAACTAAATTCCTCTTTGTGTTTGTTCCCAATAGATCAGTCAGAGTCCTCAGTCGCTGTTGGATTTCCTCCAGCCTGACGCATATGTTTTCATTCCCTGGAAATAAATTGGTTGTGTAGGAGCTGCCCTTGCCCACTGACCCTTGTCTGTCTCGACGTGAATTGCCTTCGCGGCGTGTTAAACGAGCCGTGGCTGTGTTGGTGTTTCCTCCTCTGCTCTAATCCGCCGTCTGACAGAGACCTGTCACACACCGGCTGACTGAGGGAGAGGCCAGAGTCTCACTAATTGATCCCTCGTCCACAGAGGCGCTTCGACATGCAGGTGAAGCCTGAGATGTGCAAATTACCAGTCCAGTCACATGACTGGCATGAAGCCAATCAAAATGTATAGGTTTGGAGCGAGCAGCGCTGGAGGGGATGTTGACAGATAGTGTGAGAGAAAGGGGGGAAAAAAATCATTTCTGGAGAACGTAGCTAGGAAACAGTTAAATTAATTCAGTGTTTGGCTGCTTTGCTGATTGTGTTTTATTACTTTATGCACTTTAAGGTCATTACTTATCAAGCAAATCTATATCAGAATATTTTAACTTAGAAATAATCTATTGAAAAACAATTTTAAAAAATCTTTGCATATATTGTATTAGATTTAGGTCAAGGTTTTTGTAACATAAAACAATTTGATCTAAATTCTAAAAAAACTCAGTGAGCTTTTTCTTATTTTTTTCACGTGTCTCAACACCTGACAAAAAAAAGCCTTTGTTCATATTTCTTTAAACAAACAGCAACAAGCAACATTCCATAATGTAGCATATACTGTGGATCGTAAAGATTAGTCATTCTGCAATACTACAAATAAAGTGATGAGTTTTGAAAGGCAGTGAAACTTGTTTTACAGTTTTTCTTGACTGCTTTGACCTGCTTAAAGAAACTGGATGAACTCAGTCATCATCACTATCTCAGCAGAGCAGAGCGCGTCTTTTGTAAATGCATGAACTATTTCTTACTGCTTTGACACGTTTTCCCGACTCTTTCACAGAACAGTTCACACCGACGACAATACGGCAGTCCAGACTCCACTGCTGCAGCTATGGTAACTAAACAGAAATCCCTTGTTCCTAACCATCTGATTCTACCTACATCAGTATGAATCTACTGAAGCTTTGCTTCACAAAGAGCATCGCTGGTGAAATTGTATTGTACCCTAACGTGTTCAATTTTTTTTTTTTTATTTCTTATTCTCTGATTTTATTTTGGTTTACATTTAAAGTATTTTCTGTAATATTTGCAGTGTTCCAGCTTTAAGTCAGTCACAGTGTGAAAAATATGCAATAAAAATTTGCATCAAAGCCTTTCTGATTCTGGGTCAAATCGTTATAAGGATAATTTGACAAAACCTATGAAGAAAGATAAAAAAAAAATTGTACTAGCATGAAATCTATGTGGGCCACCGTGACAAGCAGATGATGTATTTGGTTCATTATGTGAGGATTAATTGGAAGAGTTTATGCTGTTGGGTTCAAGTTGTTCTGTTTGAAGGCAATATTTGTTTTTGTTTCATATTTTAAATGTTTAAATGTGCCACAGTTGTGATATTATACCTGCTGATACAAAACATAAAAATATACATAAATACATAACCTAAAAAAAATATTTATTGCCTTATTGTTCAATTCCACTTCATAGAAGACGTTCTTGAACAATACTCAATAGCAAACACCAGTATAATAAATATATATTAAAGCAGTACTGAACAGGTGCACTGCATCCTTCAGATGATCAAATGTCTTTTTATTTGTCTTATTTTTTGGAAAGCAGTACATTTTATTTTATTTAGTATTAATACACATCAGGCAGGCAGATTATCATGTAAACTTGGTGAAATCTTCTAGCTCTAAAGAAACCAGAGGTCTGAGCGTCACTTTCTCAGTGCCAACAGGTTGTCCCCCCACACGCTCAGACCTCTGACATCAAAGTCTCCATCAGCAATCCTCCGTGCATTTAACTCATCCTCCATTTCCGTCCTCAGAGAGGGACAGGCCTCAAACAGGGCCAAATAATGCTCCGTCATTTTCTGGAAGGACACAGCAGAGCTTGTAGCAGCGTGAACCCATTCGCCTTCAGTTACCCTGTACTCCATCTCCGACGCCCACCTCTTCAGCAACTTGCAGAACGCATCTCTAAATTTCTGGTGTCTTTTTGCCAAGTCTGCAAGAACCTTGGAAGGCAGCGCAGTGCACACGTGCTGCAGCGTGCCACGCCGACTCTGCAGCCAGTCCAGGAGAAAATCCTGAGAGGCGGTCTGTGCAGCCGAGTCTGTTGTTGTCAGCAGAGCTGCAGCGATGACTGGACACAAATGCTCCGCTGCAACCTCAAATTCCTGAAGGACGGAGCTCAGAAAGTCCTCCGCCCGGAGGGGATCGCTGCTCTGGCTCAGCGCGGACCCCAACCTCTCCATCAGCATCTCTCCCTGAACCTCAGCATCAGCACCAACAGAGGGGACGCCCAGGAGGGGACGCAGCACCGTACAGGCAGATTTGCACTGAATAATCTGGCTGCAGAGGCCTCTGACGTCTTCATAGTTGCTGCTTGTAGAATCAGCAGAGGCCTTGGTTTCAAAGAGCATCTTCATAATGGAGACTGGCAATGCAGAGTTGTTCAACAGCCAGAGGAGCAGCAGATCCTGGCAGCGACCCAGATCCAAAAACGACACTGCGTTGTATTCAGGAAGAGCTTCCTTCAAACTGTGATTGGTGAGCTGCAGCTGCTTCTCCAGGACTCCTCTGATGACGGGGTTACCGTGGAACCTGCTGTAAATATGCTCACAGTACCTGGCCCAGTGAAAAGCCCTGGTCACGGTCTGCTCGTCCCACTCATTCACCACGCCGCTGTGGGCAGCCACGGCCAGCAGCTCCACGGTACGGCCCACGTTTTTCAGCACGGCCTCCATGTGGCGCTGTCCGCATTCACAGCCCAGTCAGTGGGCTCCCGGTGTTTGGCACTGATGGGGACAAAACACGACTTAGGTATTGAACCCTAAGTGCCCTTTAACTCCAAGGCACTCGTTTCAGTTCAAGAAAGTTAGTAAGTTAGCTAAAAGTTCCCCAGAAGCAGCATTAGAAACGGTTTTTTTGCGAGAACAAAAATAAACCATGTTTTAAGTCAAGTTGCTCTAACGGCTAAAGCCCTACTATAAAATAAGAATAAGACAATAAACATCATTGTTTTGCTGTTATCAACTTACTCGTCTTTACTTTCCAATACCCGGGTCTTCCGTTTGTATTTGTGTGGCGTTTACTTGTGCGCATGCGTGCTGGACTCCTAACTTTTAGCCCTTCAAAATAAAAGACACTCGTGTTCGACAAAATAAGATTCGTATCAGGAGTGATAGCGCTGTCTTTGAACTCAGAATCAGACTCATCATCAAAATCATAATAAAAAAACAAACAAAAAAAGGAGTGAAAGAAAAAAGACTGTTTCTCTCTGTCCTTATTTCTTAATTTATTTCTTTCTGTCTTTCTTGATTTGTAAATTTAAGCACATACCGAACATCTATCTATCTATCTATCTATCTATCTATCTATCTATCTATCTATCTATCTATCTATCTATCTATCTATCTAATAATAATAATAATAATAATAATAATAATAATAATAATAATAATAATGATAATCTGAAACTATTCACACATGAGAACAAACAAAGCCCGTTTCTACCCAAACGAACCAGACGACATTACTTTAGTCTCACTCTTTCGCATGAAGGCAACAGGAGGAGGGAGGCTCGACCAGCTGGATTAAACTTCCCTCCCATCATCATCATCAGTAGCAGCAGGAGCAGCAGCAGCAACAAGAGCAGCGTGCTGTGAGTATTTGTGTTTGTCTGTCAGATCTCCGTGCAGTGCGCTCCGACGCAGACCTCCCTGCTTCACATTGCTTCAGTGTTTTGGAGAGCAACCTGTCCGTCGGAGAAGCATGAAAACTGGGATTCAGCTGCTCACAGGACGAGTGAGCTGAAGGGTGAGCCTTTGACTATTCAAGTCTCATGTCAGATCGATTCCTCTTTTCAATTTGTTTTTATTACCAAACTTTCTGTGAACTATAAAAAAAAATTCTAGCCAAAAGCTGGATGCTGGTTAAGTATTTCCTGAAGAGAAGATTTCTTTTATTTTGCTTCATTTCTCTAATGCAATGAGAGGCATCTTGAATTACTCAGATAATGACATTTTGTTACTTCAGCGGCAGCCTTTTAATTAGAGTGTTCTGTTGAATTTCAGACATAAGTCATTAGGCGTTCACCCTTGATCTTATTTCCAGACTGGCAAACTGACTCTTGTGGCTCTTTTTATTTGTGACGGTTGTAAAGACGGAGACAACTTTAAAAAAAAAAAAAAAAAGTTATTGCAATTGAATCTTTAAAATAATTTCGGAGAGCGCTAAGACACCAGAAGCAACATCAAAGTTTTCACTTGTAATTGGATATGTGGTTGTATTTTTAATGCATTTTGCTTATTGGATGATTTGGAAAACATATAATGAAGAATAAACTGATTAATGAGGTTGGAAAAGCTAATTAGCAGCAAGAAATCATTGTATCTTAACAAAAAAGTCTATATAAACTAGATTTTTGTTTATCTTGTGCATGTTCATATAATTCACAGGGGTTTTTTTTCATATTTTATGCAGAAGAGTTTGTCCTGCAATGAGTTGCTGCAACAGCTGCTATAATCTGGTTTGTGCAAGCAAAGCTTATCTCCCACGGAAACTTTGCAGAATCCCCTAGTTTAGTTGAGTGATTCCACCTCTGGATAAGTTTGCTGTTGTAGAGGATGAAGAAGTGGAGGCCAGTGTGAGCTAGAAGCACAGAGACACTTTTGTGATTTATAATTGAGGCAATACGCAGTCAGGATTCCTATCCGTATGCCTTTCCTGGAGCAATCTGCAACAACCGTGACGCTTTTTAATGGCTTTGTGGAAGTCCAGAGATCCTTCCAGAATGACAAAATGTATCTGTTCATTTAAATATCTTCTGAGATGCTAAATGCAAAATTGATCTGAATCTTGCAAATTCATCAAATGAAACATGTCTTATAGCAGAGTGGTGTTTTTTGGGCCAGAGGTCAAACAAGCCAACTAACAGTGTGGTGAGAGGCAGGAAGTATGTCGAACAGTGTTCCATTGAGAATCATGTGTTCTTATGTTCTGGTCATAAATATCACAGTACTTTACAAAACATGGAGTCTTTGCTCTGAAAATTTTCATTTTTTATTCTGCCTTTATCGTGAAATGTTCAAATTTCAACCACAAACTTCAACGCACTTTTAAGTGAGTGACCAACACAGGGTAGGTGTTAAAGGACTAATGTCCCAGAGAGAGATAAACTCCTCCATCTTCGCATTGATTGCTGCAACAGTATCTTCACAGATCTGCCTAAAAAGTCAATCACAGCTGCAGCTGATCCAGGATGCTGCTGCTCACATGTAGAAGCAGCATTCAGCTTCTATGCACCATAAATCTGGCACAAACGTCCAGAAAACTGGAGAACAGCCGAAACACTGACTTCCTTTAAATCAAAACCTGCTTGTTTAGAGTTGACTTTGATTATTTTAGGTAGATCATTGATCACAATATCTGATGTGTGTTTGCTTGATGATTTCGATGATGTCATTTGAGAAAATGTAATGTTTTTAACTGGTGACTATATTATGTTTTAATGATGTGAAGTATTTTGAACAGTCTTGTTGCTGAAATGTGCGGTACAAATAAAGTTGATTTGACTTTATTTGAAAAGCATAGCTGTCAAGTGGAGGGAAAATGATGCATGTTTACTAAAATCTTTCACAAATAAAAACCTGAAAAAGGTTTGTTACAGAACATTATGGAACAAACAGCATCAAGAGGAGCGAGGATCGGAGCAGACAGATCAGGAATGAAGCTGTGGAGAACTTTCAACCAGAGACTTAAAATCACATAGAGAAGTATTAAATCCACCATTTGAAAATGGAAAGCGTTTTCCACATCCTACCAAGAAATGGCCGTCCTCTTAACTGATTGCAAGGAGAGTATTAATTATGAGCATAATGTTCTCACCAGAGATCTCCAGAGAGAAAATTTGTTGACAGGGCAACTATTCATTGTACACCTCACAAAATCTGTTAGCGAAAAGTTTTTCCTTTAGAATTCCAGCGTTTCCTTCATGCCTTCTAGACGAGACCAACATTTTACTGCTTTTGCCTGCTTTCATAGCCCAATGTTGTCTTGGAAACACTATCTGCCCCATGAAACATGGCAGTGGCAGCATCATGCTGTGAAGAGTCTTTTCATCGACAAGGACAGGGAATCATCAGAGGCAGAAAAACTGGGACGAAGGTTTGGTTTCCAGCTGGACGCCGAGTCTGAACACAAAGTTGGAGTTAAACTGACCAAAGGAAAGTCTTATGATCATTTCACAATTCTTCAGAAAAATCTAAGAAAAGTTTTTCAGCATGAATATTTCTCATGCTAGAACATTATAGATTAAAAATCTGACTAAAACAATGCATATTTACATCCAGCACCTATGCAGGAACCTGCATGAAGTTGCTCTGGTGACCTGGCTGCATCAGCCATCCACGCATCTCACATGGGAATGTCGCACCTGCCTGTAACTGCTGAGCCCCAGCGATCGGTTTGTGTACGCTGCTAGAAGCTGTCATCTTTGTTGAGATGAGATGACCTTGCTCAGACTCCGAGGTTTTTGATGTTTGTTTTTGTCACTGCAGTGTGATTTTTGCTGCTGCGTGCTGACAAGGAACCTTGAAATGTTTCGCAGCTTTTTGTCATGTTTTTCTCTCTCTCTCTCTCTCTCTGCAGTCAGCAGAAATCCTCTGCCGTCCTGAACAATTTGTTTATGGCATTTATGTTTCCTTGTATGAAAGACGTGTTTTTTTTTATTGTAATTTGCATCATATGCTTCTGTTTTTTGCGTGCCACGCAGTCATGTGAGGTATTCCAGTGTGGATGGAAACCTTTGAAATTCGTCCGCTTGTTTTCATGATAAAAATAAAGCCTTTATTCCAACTTCCTTTAACTAAATCAGTAGAGTAAGAAAAAACAAATGGCAGCTGAAAGCCTTGTGGTGCAGGTATTAATAGAGTGTGAGGTTCTCTCCTGTCTGTCTGCATCACAATGTTGTTCAGTTTACTTCAGAGAGACAATCACAGCCTGAACTTTGTGGTTTCTTCTTCTGCTTACATCTGGGGGCTATTTGCTTCCTTAAAGGAGACAGCTGACAGAAAACTGAATGATTTCCCTGCAAAAGCTCACACAGTAAACTGGGTACCCGAAACAGATGTGAGAAATGTCTTGTTTATCAGTGACATCACGGTTAGACGGAATGAAGTCCTTTTTTTTTAAATATCAGCTTTATTACTGATGTCAAAAGCTATTGATCCATGCAAACTCTGCTGCGGCGCTGACTATTGGATTGAGACAGACGGTGTAATAGACTCCATTACTGGTGGCAGGGAATACTCAAAGAGCTCTTTGTTTAATAAAGCTGCTATTGTATGAGTCGAGCCCGTATGAAAGTGTCCGTTGTCCGATGAAGGAGGGAGGAGGAATGTTGCTGTCTAACGCATTCAGGTCGCTGTAATCCCTGCTGGGATTCAACCTGGAGGATAAAAGGAGTCAGAATGGATTTGTTCCTTCACTCCTTTTAGGAAAGTTGGCCTCATTAGCAGCTATATTTCTCAAATCAATTAACACCATCAATTAATAACTGTGGTTGTAAGAATAAGAACAAGGAAACTGTTTGGTGTAATGTAATCGAAGGGATTCTGATGAGATTAAGTAGCGGTGCAAACAGCCAATATTTGATGCTTCATGCAGAACAAATGTAGAGAAAAAAAATCAACTTTCCTCGTCTCTTCTCAAAATCAGAAAGACAAAAGAACATGCCTTTGAAGTAAGGTGGATGTGTCCTGATTTTTTATTTTTTTTTTACTTTTGTTACTCCCTGAAATTTGTTCTTATCTGCTGAGAGTGAAACTTAAAAAGTTTAAAACTGCTGAAACTGGGTCAAACAGGGCCATGCGAGGACCAAGGTTTACAAAGTCTTACAAAGACTGAGGAGGATGTTAGAAAAGGAACATGTTAAATAGAGAAAAATCTTTGTGTTTCTTTAACAAAATATGTGACTACAGGGTCTATACAGTAATGATTTGGAACTTTTTCAGCTTCAAACCTGCAAAATAGACCAAACCAAATCCTCAACAGGAAAATAATTGCTTTTGTCTGTTTCTATCATTTTTGGCTCTTTTAAAATGGCAAAAATGTAGCATCCTGTTACTTTGTTTGCTATCTGAATAGGCTCTGAAGACCTCACATTCATCCATCTGTGGATCACTTTGAAAAGTGAAGTATACATTTATAAATGGTTCAGTCACTATAAGACTAGGAATGCTTAGGCTGGGATTGTTGCACCTTTCTATTCTTTTGGATTATACTCCTGCAACAGATGATGTATTTATTGTATGCGCCTTTGCACATCTCACCAGAGGTTCCCATAAGTCTGGAGGATGCCATGCAGATTCAGTAAAAATTACAGAAAAGTTTAATAGGCCAAACTGGAACTCAAATGTCATTTAACACATATAAATAATTTCTCCTACAGCTATTTTTGGTTCAGTTTTGACTTATTGCCTTGATGTAACTTTTAATTGAATCATCTTTGGTCCTCACCGTGTGCTCCAGGCCATCAGCCGGCGACCATGTGCAGCTCGGTGAGCCCAAAGCAGCTCTGCGGTCCGGGCCTGACAGACATGCAGCAGTACCAGCAGTGGCTCTCCAGTCGACATGAAGCCAGCCTGCTGCCCATGAAGGAAGACCTCGCCCTGTGGCTCAGCAACATTCTTGGTAAAACATTATTAATACTCAGATTAGTCTAAAATAGGCTGGTGAAAATCGTATCTGTATATGTAAAGCGCATAGCTTCATTTGGAGCATCGTTTCGCATCAAGGTGATGTGGATCCAGTCAGAATTATTATTTTAATAATGTCTGCTTATCTTCACACTTTAACGATTTGGATAATTGCGAGTTTATTTGGACACAAACTTTTATTCTCTCTCCACATATTTTGCCGTTTTGCTAATTCATTTGAAACACTGACCATGCTGCAAAAAGAAAAAAACTCTGTAAGGCTCCTTGTTTTGTCTTTAACATAATTTAAGTGGTAGTGCTGATGTAAACACTTCTACAGGAAGCTGGAATCAATCTAATTCTCATTACTAACCCATTTTCAAGTCAACAAACTGTGACCCTGAGTCAGTGTTCGATACATTACCTTAAAGGAATAATGGACATCATTAACTTTTCTTAAATAATGCAGAGCCACTGGTAAAGAATAAGCAGTATGGAGGTTTGTTGTGCTGCTGTTTATTTTTTAATCACAGCAATTAGAAGTGAATACATGCAGCTCCCCAATCTAATCTGAATGAGATTAAATTAGGGAGCATAATCCAATGCAGTTTTGTATTTTATGTCTCTGAGTTTTAAAAACAGTAAAATTATAGTTCAGTTAGCTTTTTGGCTTTACTTGTAGGTCTGATGCTGGTTTCCAGTTCCAGTTAACAGAAATAAAGCTGAGATTCCAACATGGCGACGTCCAAGTAGCCGTTGATCATAGGACTTCTTATAAACATTGTTTTAAGACTTACTTTCCACATTAATTGGTCCAGTTTAGAGTTGCAGTCACCACATGTAGCATTGATTTTAGTGTGTCTTGTAACATAGACATATTTTCAATTCACTGTTGTTGATGAAAGGAGCGGCCATTATGGATCTAAAATCCAACTTCATGGTGTGTTTCAGTTGATTTTACCAACTCAAAGTTGGAAATTACGAGTTTCGATTACAAATCCAACGTATCTTAAGTCACATCCGGTTTTTACTGAATCCAATCCGCCGCGAGGATCTTACAAAGCCTGATAAAAAATAAAAACAAAAAACAGTGGTGTATGCATAGTTTTCTGACTGAACTTTAAATATTATGTCTGTGAAGGGAATTCAAGTGACTGTAGGTTGAAATGGATCTGTAAATCACTGTATTCTGTTTTTATTTATATTTTTATTTATTCCAGCTTCATTGGAATTGGGTTGTAAAAATGTGTCAACTTCACTTCAAATCAGCAGCTTGTCGGCTGAAACTTGGACATTTCTAACTAAAAACACATCAGAGCTGATTTCCGTCTCAACCCTAAAGAAGTCATGTGCTTAAAAGTTGAATACTTGCCAGGAAACCAATAATTTGATCTCTATTGATCAATTCTGATTAAAACAGAGGCGTCAAATATCCAGCCAGGGTTGTAAGAGGTGCTTAATAAGGACTAGATAATATGGGATTGAGTTGAAACTTATTGAGGGATGTTTAAATGAATATTAGTGGAGGCGTATGTTAATATTTTAGCCTGTGTTTAATATCAGATATGACAATTTATTGTAAGATTGTTTGGTGTTTAATTATCTCATCCTGTAAAACGAACAGTTTAAACGCATCTTTAAAATCCTCTACATTAATATGACATTTGTTCCCATAATGAGTGGATGTAAACTTCTAACCGGATCTGTAGATAATATTCAGAGATACTGAAGCCATGTTTGTCTATGTGTAGCTATGTTTAATAACTGGGTGTTTCTCCAGGGAATGTCCTCTGAAGTTATTTCTTACTTTTACTGCAAGCAGGATGAGTTCCTGTAATGGACTCCGGCTTATGGGAAGCTACGAGGGAATAATCTTTCCTGTCATCTCTGGCCCTCTGTTTGCTCTGGAACCGGCTGATCCAGAGATCTGGATCTGCAAACCCTGCAGACATCTTGGTTTTTAAAGCAAATGTGCTTTCGCAGAATTCATTGAGCTACTCTTTTTATTTTTTTTCAAAATTGTTTGCATTTTCAGGTTGAGAGAGTTTTGGACAAACCTAAGGGACGATTTATTTACTTGGGTTGAAATATTTGTATCAGGGCTCTGTGGCTGTATGTGTTGCTCACACAGTAAGGGGTCGAGGGTCGAGCATAAGACGGCAACTTGCAGAAAATTTCTCAAGATTTCAATAGCTCGTTTCTTTTTTTTTTTTTTTTGGGCTCAGCTGCAACATTTGGAACTCATTAAACATGGAACCCCGAACCCCTCCTCTTATAAGAAACAGAAATGGGATTAAAAAAGAAATCTCTCCAGTTTCTTTCCACAGACAAATCCCCCACCCCCTGCCACTACCTCCTATTTCACGATGACCTAACCGCAAAAGTATGGTCCTCTGGAAGTCAGTCAAGTGGACGCCACATGTTGATCACCAATATGTATGTGCAACTCTGCAGCATAATGAGGCTTTACTTTGGGTAAACGGAGTCTTCCTCTGTGCCACTGGACTACCAGGAAATTCTTCATAATCTATATTTTACACTCTGGCCTGAGCGGTTTTACAAACCTACAGTGAGGCTTGATCATTAAAACAGTTCTGGAGAGTTGAAAGCATTACATCAGGCTTAGGAATGAACAGGAGATTGAATTTTATTTCTTTTATTCACGTATATTTTAAATGAGCGCACTTTTGATGGATTTATGACGTTGGACTGTCTGCCTGTCTTTATGTGTCCCCTGCTCAGGTCTGGAAATCACCGCTGAGAGCTTCATGGATCGGTTAGACAATGGCTTCCTGTTGTGCCAGCTGGCTGAGACGCTGCAGGAGAAGTTCAGGCAGAGTAATGGAGACCTGCATGAGCCTGGCAATAGCAAGGTAGAGAGAAATCGGAGGATCGCAGTGAGATGGCGTGAGACAGATTACGGTGAAAATACTCATTTGGAAGTTAAATTGTGGCTGAAAGTGTTCCCAGACTTACTTTCGTTGTGAATGATTTTGCAGAGCAGGGCTCCAGAGTGAAAAAAATTAACAAATAAGTGTTCACTGATTTGATCAGATGGAACAAAGGTCACTTCGGTCTTGAGTCTTTTAGCAGCTCCTCTAAAACTGTCGATTAATATTTTGTAAGAGTTATGCAGCTCCAGTTAGCTCTCAAAGGTCCCTTTCTGCGATTTGAAAAACAACGAAATTCATTACAGGCAGCATCTCTGAACTCTTACTCTGACGGTGAAACTGAAATAAGCATTACTGGGCATTAAGACTGAAAATCTTCAATCAAAGACTAACTTCTCCTGCAGATCTGTTCTTTAGTTTTTCACATTAGGTCCCGTTGCAACCACAGGTATGTGCTTTAGTGTGATTTTATTTTAACTACCTCAAATTAGAGCATAAATGTGAATTGGAAAGAAAATGATCATGGTTTTAACTTTTTTTTCTTTTTACAAATAAATGTCTTAGAAGTGTGGGTTGTGCATGTATTCCTACTTCTTTACTCTGTTACCCCCCTAAAAATTCCAATTTATATGGCAACCAATTGCTGTCTAAATTTTCCCAATTACAAAAATATTCATTTGAGTTAAAGTTTACATCTTAAAACAAGCCTTTTTTTCTCTCTCTTTTCATCAACGATAACACAATAGCACTTTGGTTCAACTTTAACCTGTTTTTTAAAAGTGCTATTTAAATAAATTTGACATTGACTTTGACACTGAGGGAAGCTACAGAGAAGCACAGCTCAGGTAGAAGAAATTGACAACCAGGTAGCGATCAGTCATTTACAAAACAAATCTAGCCTTTTGTGACAAACTGGCAACATCATGCTGTGGGGATGCATTCGAACTCGAACAAGGAAACAACCATAAATGTACAGTCAGATGTGTAAGGGAATTATTTAAATCAATGTAGAGTGTTGGAATGGTCCTGTCAAAGCCCAGACTGTTGAGATTCTGTGGCAAGACAGAATCTCAAAATAGCTTCAGCTATTTTGCAAAAAAATCATCAGAAATCTCAGTTTTTTAGATGTGGGGAGCTAGTAGCTACCTACCCCAAAATACTCACAGCTGTAATTTGTAGCAAAAGCTGGCTTGACTGAATACAAATGGCCGCCACACTTTCTTTCAGGCTTAGGGGAAAAAAAAGAAAAGAAAATCATACGTCCAAATTAGGCACCGTTTTGTGTTGATCTGTTGCATAAAATCATAATTAAATACATTCAGATTTATGATTGTATGACAGTAAAATGTAAAAAAAGAAGAAGCTCAAGAACCGAAAAAGTTTGGCTAGGTGCTGTAATTCAGTGAGATCAGCGTGACCGATGAATACAAACTTTGCCAAGAGCTCCACGATTTAAAAAACTATACAGAAAGTGAAGGTGGGGGATGGGATTTTGCTGTCTCCAATAGGGTGAAATGAAGGGGGGGAAAAAATAAGCTGTAGGGGTTTGTTAACTAGCGGGGCCCCACAGACCCTGGGAGAATTGAAAGAACTACGCTGAAGGTTTTGAACTGAGGGTTTCATGAACCTTGGAAGAAGATATCTGTAAATTAGTCCAACTATTTTCTGCCAACCTCAATGTCATCAGAGTAATTTCAGTTTCTCTTATGACAGCATATGTTTTTATGAAGTAAATGATTTTTTTTTTACTCAAACATATGTAAAATACAGATATAAAATCCTGATTTTAATATATTTACAATAGATTTACTTAATTCTGTCGGTTCAGAGGCAAATGAAGGCAAAGGATCTTTTGTGGCGCCTTCTGTGAGAGTTGTTGATGTTTGCAGTGGGGCATTGCCGCTCTGATGACGAAGGGTCTCCTGATCTCAGTGTGAGCGCAGCAGCAGCAGCACAGATGTGAGGAAATACTTGAGGTCAACGACCGTGGGACAGCAGAGACGCTACTGAACATAAAGGAGCACATTGATTGTTGAGAGCAGAAGAAAAACAGCAGAGCCGTCTCAGGTTTTCAGATTGTTTGCAATGGACATATGTTGCTCTTTATCCACAATTAAAAGACACGTCAGCGTAAATGTCAGAATCTAACAACAGAACAGCGTGTTTTCCACATTTCTTGCTCCATAAAGTTTTGTTTAATGCCACTTGAAGCTTTCCAAGTCACCTAAAGAGCTGCAGTTTTTACCCTCAGGTGGGTCTAAGTGAACTCCAGTAGAAGTCAAGTCTTATCTGCTCATGTGACCTGACTGAGCAGCAGGAAAACATAAATTAAATGTTGTAGATACAAAAAAAAAAAGATTTCTTCATTTTCGTGCTAAATTCCAATGCAAAAACATAATACAGACATGATCAGTTCAGATTAGTCCTATGTGTGATTGAAAGCAGGACAAATGCAACATAAAGCTTTGAAAACTGTGTGAAATCTGCAGACTCCATGACGTTTGAGGCTTCACTTTTGAGATGGTTCAGAAAAAGGCCAATGAAGACTGGTTTAACTCTGTAATACTAAACAGCTGGTGAGACCTCTCACTGCTAATTAGTCTAATTGCAAACAGATTAGTTACATGATGAGCCAGAAAAAATAAACAAACCAAAGTGGTTGAGGCTTCTACAAATGGAAAAATGAGGGAAGAATGTTAAAGCAGCTCAGTATTTAGCTTCCTTGCCTGTGTGTTCCTAAATAAAAGCAGCATCGACCCAGTTAAGCTGATTCAAGCTCACAAAACTGAAACTGAATTCATTCAAACTTCAAATCCACTAAAGGTTGTAAACTAAGGCCAAACTCAAAATGTGAACCTGGACTTTTGTTTTTGTAAGGTTTCGGGTTTTGATATTTTGTTCAGTAAATAGTTTAATTTTAAAACCAACTACTTCCTCTTTGCATTTGGTTCTTGCTCTACTGTAACGTTAGCTGAAGTTCTCGAAACATATCTTGTCCCTGTGGCCAAACAGCTCAATCTTCTTCTTGTCAGTTCATAAAACTTTCCTCTAAAACAAAGTTGGCTTGTTCAGCTTGGCAGATTAAATTTTCTGTCAGTACTGAGGTTGTTGGTTTTGGAGCAGTGCTTTTTCTTGGTTAGCATCCTCTCATTCTTTGCTAGCGTAAAACTTGTTTCAGTTCGGTCAGTTTGAAGATGTTTTACATGAGATGGACTCAGTTGAGTGTCGCAACAGGACAATGATCCCAAATGTAAAACAAAACTGCTTTTTGAATGGAACAACTCTGGAAAAAAATCTTTAGCTTTAGAGAATGTGGACTTTGTATAAAAATGTTATCCCAGACCTAACTAGTTTGCATGAACATGTGGCCTGTAGATGGCCACAAAATATGTGGTTGAGAACATTTTAAAACATATCAATAAACATGCTTGTTTTTATTTGAGCCTGCTTGTAGCGATTCTTAACTAGTGCAGCTACTTCTTGATTTTATTTACATTCTTTATTAGATGCACTAACTGTTGGGATACCTCGTTAAAAACTTAAAATAATATTCTTCTTCTTACCACAACTGCACATCCCTGGGGTTTTGAAACATGATGCTGGTGATAAAATAGACCTGTTGCCCCATTATCGCTCATCCACTTATTAATGTGTTAGCACATAAAATGTGCTGAACGTAGACTTTAAATTTGTTAAATCTGTTATAGAAAAGACTATATTTGTTAAATAGGAAACACATTTTGAAGATAAGTGGAGCATTTATCCATTTGGGGAAGAAAGCTGCACAGATCTCAAGGTGAGAAAACTGCAGATAGTTCTGCAAATGTTTTGATTAGGCCGAGTTTTAATCACTCAATAACTGGCCGCTGCATGTTGAGCAAGACAGATAAGATATATAATAATAACACAAGTATGAGTCAACATATGCACTAAATGTGAACAGATGTATAAAAATTTGCCTTAAACCACCCGTGCTCTATTCAAGTATATATTTTATTTTTATTCTTTATGTTCCCCTTTGTTCAGAAATACTGTTTTATGAAGCTCTTTACCTTATGTGCAATCAAACACACAAAGGTGCCAATAATAACATAACAAGCCACAGCAGAAATACATTTCATTTTGACTGGCATATTAAATGCCATTGGCAAACGTTTTTTCCACAGCTATGTTCAGTAATAGAGGAACATAAATGAGTGAAAAAAAAAAGGTTTAAAAGAGATCCTGGAATGAAATGAAAAATACCCACAAAAGCTTGCATATTTCCTGCATGAGCTCACTGCACCTTTCTCGAAGCGCAGACACACATATCCTTCATAAAACCGCAGCAAGGCGCATAAATCTCTGTGAACGGACCGCGTGGGGGCTGAAACCCATAAGTATGTCATTTGATCCTAAATCACGGAGGGTCTGGTAAAGTAACTCCAGTTTTCGGAGCCTTCATCTCCCATATTGATCCGCAAAGAAAAGGCTCCCAGATACCAGGATGAAACCGGAGCAGATGGAGGAGACACTGCTGTCTACTTCATCTCAATCAAAACACTGGACTGGGCCACACGTTGGCAAAATACACCTCAATCTCTTTTTGGGCCTCAATCAACTACAAATAGATCCATGAAAATAATGTTTAAATATCTTGGAGCTTTGGGTTTGCAGTGAGACGGTCCTGGGCTCCAGTCCCAGTCTGGGGTCTGACTGCATGGAGTTTGCATGTTCTCCCTCTGCATGTGGCTCTTGTCCCAATCGTGTATTTTTCATTTTTTACTTCAATCATTCTGCTGGGATAATAACGTCTTTAAAAACTGAATTGCTTCACTATCATCTGAATTTTTGATCTGAACATTTTGAATTCTGGTTTACATGTTTCATAGGTCAGTGGCGTTTCTCCATTTATAAGGAAACCACATGGTCGTTTTGTCATTCAAAGAGGTTTTCCGGTTTGGCAGACAAATCGTTGACAACACAATGACAGAAATTTGGTTTTAACTACCTGTATGACCATTTTCATACAATGTGCAACTAAAAAAGTCATTTTTTTATTACACTTTGAAAGCATTTCCATAAAATCAACAGAATATACAAGGATGGGGAAGGATACATAAAAGGATTACAATAAGACAAAAAACTGTGGTCACATCGATATCTCAGGAAGTGCAAGGAAAAAAAATCTCATCTTAAATCTTTTAGAGAATTACTATTTTAATTCTTTACTTGCGTGTTTTCTCTTATTTGTGCTTTCAGAAGAAAATCCCCAATCGGAGGATCCCGTGCCGGCAGAGCGCTCCGTCCGGTTCTTTCTTTGCTCGCGACAACACAGCTAACTTCCTGGCCTGGTGCCGAGAGGTCGGAGTGGGTGAAACATGTCTCTTTGAGTCTGAGGGCCTAGGTGAGTTGAACTGGGTTTTCCCCATTTGTATCAGACTGCCACCAAATCCGAATGTTGGACAATCTGGCTGTGCTAACAAAGATCCCAACTCTGGCACTGCCAGGACCCCGGACTCAGGTTTCTGGCTCCTTTCAGAGCATTGATTGTGCAGGTACAATAGTAAGCAGAATGGACTGTCTACCTCACAATCCTCACTTTCACTGTGGAGGGAGTAACTCTGCATGATGAGAAGAATGTCTGACTTAAAACACAGAAATTCAACAAATAGACATGAATGTGTGAGTAAGTGAAAAAGTAGGCCAAAGCTGTCTGAGTTTTTCTCCAGCTTTAAATATTTTTCTCTTTGTTGTCTCAAGCCTTTTTCCCTTGCATGTTATTTTACTCCAAATAAATGTCCTCCAGATAAGGTGCAGAATGTTACAGGGTCATTTACATTTTTTCTTTTTTCATTTTGATCCTGAAGGTTTATCATTGTCAAGTATGCAGATAATTTAATTTCTAGAGGTCAGGCGGCATACCGAGTAAGAGGTTAACACTGAATTACAATCCTCTTCTAGCCTTGCAGACATGCAACTGTGATTAAAATCTGTCGAAATATGTCCAGAAACAGTAGCTGATGGATTTCTTTCTCTTTCTGTCCTTCTTTCTTTGGATAAACTTATGAGTTCAGCAGTAGAGGTGTCGACACCCAGGTTTGCTCTCATACAGTGGATCTCCTTTCTGCATCGCATGGTTGGATGTGTGACATCTATCGTGTCTTTTTGTCTGCGCACTTCCTGCTTGGTTTGCCATTGGTGGAGGTTAAATCGAACATCTCAAACTTAGGCAGATTCACTCACTTTCATGTAATTTGTAGGGAAGAGAATGAAGGAGTTGAGTGACTTTTGAATGCATGGAGTCCATCAGCTTGTTTTTATGTGTTATTCACCATCACCAAGCCACTCATCTTCACTCATTGCCTTGTTTTTTTGTTTTTTTTTTGGATGTGTTATCGTGTCTCATTATAAAACTGAGTGCTAAGCTTTGCTCTCTTCCTGTAGTTCTGCATAAGCAGCCGCGAGAGGTGTGCCTCTGTCTACTAGAGTTGGGTCGGATAGCGTCACGGTTTGTTCCAGCTGTGCTGCGTTTTCATTTTTTTGACGCTTTTAGGCCCTCGATATGATTCATCCGATTGTTTTATTTTTTCACATTTAGCTACAATGTGGAGCCTCCAGGCCTTATAAAACTGGAGAAAGAGATTGAACAAGAAGAAAGGGCACCTCTACCTCCCCCATCACCCTTATCCCCGGCTCCGCCTCCCCTCTCGTCCCCTTCTTCATCATCCCCCTCCCCGTCTTCTTCACCGACACCGACTTCAACTCCAACTACGACCAAAGTCACTTCGTCCAAGAAGGGCGCAGGCAAGCTCCTGGATGATGCTGTAAGTCACAAACGGGTGACTTTTGCATTTCAAATCAGAGCAGAAAAATGTGCAAAAGTGTTTTATGTGTTACAGGTGAGACACATCGCTAACGATCCGCCCTGCAGGTGCACAAATAAGTTCTGTGTGGAAAGACATTCGCAGGGTCGATACCGCGTTGGAGAGAAGATGCTCTTTATACGGGTGAGTTTAGCAAATGCCTGACTGAAACGAATCAAGTTTAAATGTCACCAGAATAAAAAACGTATTCCATAAATCAGGGGTCTTTGAAACCTGGCCTCTAGCACTAGAGTCCTGTAACTTCAACCCACCTGAATCGAATGACGAGGTCATTAGCAGGACTCTGCACAGTGAGGAGGTAATTCAGTCATTTGATTTAGGTGCATTAGAACCTGGGACACATCTGAAAGTAGCAGGAAATCAACCTTCAAGGCCTGGATTTGAGGACCTTTGCCACAAATATTACACTGTATACTGTAAAATTTCTGAAAATGTAGTATTTACTAGAATTGTCTGTTTTTCTTTTGATTACTCGCTTGACAAAATTAACAGTGGATCTTCTATCTCCATAAATCCTTTCTATAAACAACTTCAGTGTTTAGTTTTTTCACTGGACCCGGTTGTCTCCAAATGTCAGTCATCCAGCTGGAGATTAATATATCTGAAGCTCGTTTTATTTTATTCATTTATTTTGAACATGGTAGAAGTATAAAATCACACACACACGAGCAGGGAATGCAAAAGACACATTTTTGTACAATAATCTTAACATGTCGGACAGAGTTGTTCCAACTGGTTAACGAACAACAAGACCAGAAAAAACTGGTGAATTAAGCTTAAAAACCAAGAACACAAACATTTAAATTAACCTCTATTATACTCAGAAAGTACAACAAATCAAATACAACATTAGGAATCTAAAATAAAGGAGAAATTATTCACTGGGCACTACATTTGAAGGTTGACGTAGGTGTTAATGCAGTTTACATGTTTTTTCTCGACTCATTCCCACCGAGTTGAAACTTATCTGCCACAGAGTAAACATCTTCTGCCTTTCACTCCAGAAACAGAATATTTCTGTCCTGTCGGCCTGATAAATTGCTCCTACCAGCTCAGCAGCATTTCTGAATATACCGCACAAGAACGGTGCTCTAATGTGCTCCAGGTGGTTGTGCTCATTATAACAACACAACGGTTTCTCATGCAGCGGCGCAGCCTGAGGCCTGACCATCAGATGCGTCCAACTGTCATTTCTGGCTTGGCTCGTCATATGTTGGGATTTTCCTGAAGTTCCAAAATCTCAATATTGTGCGCTGAAAATGCTTTTGATTAGATATAAAGTGTGTGTGTGTGTGTTTCAAATGGTTCAAACATCAGCAAACTCTTTTTATCTGGATAAATTTGATCCTCCTTTTTCTCTGAGCCAACCATCGTTGTAAGCTCTTAATCAGAGATAATGCCACGCTCTTGCTGTGTGGAAAAATAAACATCCACCTATAACCACATATTCTAATTGCCAGGCTGTTACTTTAATCGTTAAAAACCAAAAAAAAAAAAAAAACTTCTATTTGATCTGAGGAACACAATTAGCTGTGAGCACAGTAAATGTTTCTCAGCTGTCCATGAGTAGAGGGATGCCTGGTATTTGAGGAGGATAAATTGAGGCTAACCGATCTGAGAACGAGAATCTGTCCTCCTGGGATTCTGGTTACTTGGCAACCCACATCCAGGATTCACACATCCAACTATGTGATTCATGCCAGTGGTATGTTTGAGATCTGCAGGCGTGCAAACGAGAGTTTACTCTTGGATGTCCTCTGCTGCCGGCCCAATAAACTGCAGCACAGTTAAAATCTAGACCTGCCACCCAATCATCGCTAATTTTCTGCAAGGTTTTGGTGAAATAATCTGCAGTGGGGACAATCGGAGCGTAATTGCTAAGATGAAAGAATTCCAACCACAATAACATGGCGAAAATGTAAATGCCTCTAAAACCCATTGGTTTAGTCTCCAATGTGTTGCTAAGCAACCTAGGACAAATAACAAGAGGCGAAAAGTGTTGATCCAGATCAATCTGGTACGCAGCATACACTCTCCAAAGTCAGGTCTGCTTTTTATCTCTGCGGCTGGCAGCACAAATGAGCTGAAAAGGCTTGAAATCATCTGTTTTTCCAAACAAAATCCCGAACAATAACTAGAGATCTCGTAACAGAGAGAGAGCAGGCGTTTTTATAATGCCAAGTAAAACGAGCATTAAACGACTGTCGCTCTGTCTCTCAGCCAGCTCTCTTTATGGTGAGGATGCTTTAATTAACATTCCTCACATGGTCTCCCTGCTAGCAGCTGCTACAGTAAGGCCAGTCAGCGTCTGTAAGCAGCTGGGGTACGGCAAGCCGTTTGTGTAAACATTCCAGCCGTCATTTGTGGCCGTTATGCCAACTTAGAGTCTGTTTTGTCCACCTGAGTAAAGCTGCCTTCAGATTAAACGAAATCGACGTTGAGCAACAAATGACCTCTGTGAAAATTAGCAAATATTTCCATAGGTCATCAAAGGTCAACAAGCCAAGTCAAATGAAATATGGTGTCCATCAGCTGTGCTACGTTTGTGAAGCAAAATGTTTTGTTTGTATCACTATCATTTTAAAGATATTTATAAATGTTTTCAGAGGTCATCAAAGGTCAACGAACCAGTCCACGTTTACAAAATCAAATGAAATTTTTGCCAGTCTTACGTTTTTGCTGGTTTGTGTGGCAAAAATCTTCGTTTGTGCCTTCATAATTTTTAAGATTTTAAAAATCAAACAAAACTGGTGTAAATGAATCGTTCCACGTTTGTGCTGGTTTGTGCGGCTAAAACGTGTTTGACACCAATTCTGTTTAATATGAAGAAGGTTTTGGGGGAGGGAGGTCACGTCACTCAGGTCTTTTGTCCATCTAGTAGAGTCAGAAGTCCTAGGAAAAATGCATATTAGTCAACCTCTGGCGCTCAACATGCTCACGTGATGACTGACCTTCCCCACTGTAGGAATAAATGAGCTGCTTGTTGTTTGAGCGTGAGACGGTGGAGAAACCTCAGAGTGTTTCTGGACGGTGCTGTCCCCGCTCGGCCCCCGGGCCTCCGCCGTCCTCTGGGTTCCCGATGAAGGACTGGTCTCAGGCAGGAGTCATGTCCCAGAGCAGAATGATTGAAACCTCGCTGCTTCACACAGATCCATTAAGTGCACTGTAACAAAGCCCCAGGCCCAGTGCAGCTGATTGGAAGTGCTGCCCCACTGCTGCCCCCTAGATTGATTCTTGTAAGAGGCTTATAAATGTTGTATGTTCTGCTGCTGGAGGGCAAGAAGCCTCATATCTGACCACACCGAAGTCACAAGGTCCTTGGTAGTCTATCTTTTTTTTTTTTTTTTAATCAAACTGTATGTTTTAGTCAATCTTTAAAGACTAATAAAGCATTATGATTTTTTTATGTACCCTCCTTCAGTAAACAAGCTTGTTTCTGCTGAGGTGTAATGAAGTGCTAATGAGGAAAAGTGGCAGTAAGCCTTCACTCCGTAGCAGACGTATTTTATGAGCACAGTCTCTTGGGAATGCGAGCGTTTGATCATCTAATACAGCGGCGTGTTTTATTTCTTCTTTTTACTATAATGGGTGACGTTGCCATGGTAGCGAACCTTGGGAATGCGCCCTGATGTGACAGGTGTCACATCCTAAGGAAAAATTGCTGCAAAAAATAAAAGAAGTCACTTTATAGACTTGTGAGGCAAACATAGCGCAGATTTAGAGAGTTTGAGTGGAGAAACCAGCTGGATATTTAACAGCCGTACTGACCGTGCTTTCAAATCTGGGGCTGCAATGTGACAAAATGTAAACGTTCTATGGCTATTATTTAATTTCCCAGTTACTGTAGACTTTCTCCTACAAAGAGAAGTCTTTTGTATTTTTCAAGACGTTTATTACAGAGGTTTTCATCAAGATTGCAGGTAAACCTGTTAAACAAATGTTTGTTTCCGAATGACTTCTTAAACCAGCTTCGCCCCGATTCGATTTCCTTTTGCAGATGCTGCACAACAAGCATGTGATGGTGCGGGTCGGCGGAGGCTGGGAGACGTTTGAGAGCTACCTGCTGAAACACGACCCCTGCCGCATGCTGCAGATTTCCAGAGTGGAGGGAAAGATATCCCCCATCAGCACCAAGTCCCCCAACATCAAAGACCTCGCCCCGGACAGCTACCTGGTGGTGGCGGCCCACTACCGCAGCAAGAAGTGAAGGCCCACCGCAGAGTGGTTCTGGTCTGGACATGGTGTATGCGTGACTTTTTTAAGACCGCTCTAATAACGGGGCTTTGCTATGCAAAAACGTGGAGGAAACGGAGAGAGACGACTTGTAAAATAATGATTTGTTGTTTGAGGGGGTAGGAGGAGGAAAAAATAGAAATCTTGGGTAGTATAGTTTTCAATTTAATTTTGTGCTTTATCTTATTTTCTTTAGCTTAGGAAATTCTCATACTTTATTAATTTTGTTGATAATTAGTGTAGTGGGTGAAACAGGAGCTTAGCAGGGAAGTTGTAGATGTTTGTGACATTTGGTTTTAATCGTTAGTTATACTTGAAGCTTTTCAGTGAGTATTCAGAGGCATCCTATCTAAATCTGATAGTCGACATGCAGAAGTTCATCCTTTTCATGCAAACTAGAGATGGATTCATCAGCACCTTTGTGAAACTAACATTTTGTCATGTAATGCCGTTTTAACACAGTAGGTAGAAGATATTCCACAAGGATCAATATTTTGATGTTTCAAACTAATTTTAACAAATATATAATAAGAAAACTTTGTACTATCCAAAGCTTTAGATTGTGTGTCTTTGCATAATATAAAACATTTCTCTAAAATCCAACACTTACAAGTATTTCTTTTAATGGATTTCTGATTAGGTTAAATGTAAGCAGTGCTTGCACTACATGCAACATTCCCACTTTGAATTGATTTACTGGCTAGGTTCTGGCATAATCTTTATTTAAACAATACAATCTCACGCAGAACTGAACCAGAGGGTTTTTGACTTGAGAAGCTACTTAAGTTTTTCTTTTTGTGTAGAGTTACTGACCTCTAGAGGTAGAACAGAGATCAACATGAAAACAATCTGACTTTTGGTTTGGAGTCTTACAATAACAGACAATACCTGTATCAAAGCTGAGCTCATTGATATGTGACTTTTTATGGAGTATTATGTTGGTTTTGAACTAAGAATGATGATTAAAAACCATCAAGTTTCTTAGAAGTGAAAATCCTTTTTTTAACTGTAAATAAAGTCTCATTGTTTGTGACAACCTCCTCTTGTTTCCAAATATCAATATCCTTGAATGATCTTCGTAATTAAAACATCTGTAAATGTTCATCTGATGCCCTGCAGACACAAAGTCAGAAGGTGTCATTATGTGTCGAGATGTAAAACCAGAAATCAGCATCTGGAGTCCAAACACACGTAACAGAAATGTGCTTTATTAACTGTAGCAATACCATTGGCTATACTCTTTGTCCTACAAAATGGCAAGAGCACCAGAAGCTTTTGAGGATCAGGCAGCTTTAAGAAAAGACCTCAGTTAAGTTGAGCACTTCGAGGAATATTCACTACACCGTCATCCAGCACCATATGTGAAAGTACAAAGGCAAAGCTGCAGTCTCCAAAAAAAAAAAAAAAAAAAAAAACTGTGACAGACAGTAGAGAGAAATTACTAATCA